TGGATGATGATCTGATTAGTCGACTAATCGCAAAAATAATCGGTGACTAGTCGACTATCAAAATAATCGTTTGTGACAGCCCTACTACACTATAAACACTATAAACACTATAAACACTACACTATAAACACTATAAACACTACACTACTGTTAACTTATTCCTTGTAAGAAGCACGTTGTTACTGTGATGCAGTTATGTTGGATTCTCTTTAATTACTTTGATTCCAGATTTCAGTTGGATCTTTAAAAAAAAGTCTGAACCTGTAGTGATATTTATCACCAGGTTGTTTTCATGACCTGCACACACTGGGCTATTTAAGATTGCCAGGACGTTGACATCTCTGAGCACATTCTTCTTCTTCAGCATGCTCATCCTTCTGGGAAAACATAATCTGTTGGCAGTTTGCACATGTCATACCAGGATCAGGCATCGAAATGTGCTGTTTATTTTCAGCCTGTTAGGTAGGACTAGCCTTCCCTCTATTATTGAACAGGACTGCTCAGTACTGAAAAGGTCGTCCTTCTGTGAAAACAGTCTTTGTGGAAGGGAGTTATTTTCAGTTTTCTTAGTTATTCTCTGCCTTTATCTTTGCCTCACACCACATTTTATACAAGCATAAAGAAAAAAGAAAAGAAAGAGAAGGAAACCACATCAGAGTCTGAATTGTCTACATGACTATTTAGCATGAAACTACATGAAATTCTACCTTTAGATAGAAATGTAAAGGGTATAACATCTAATACAGAAGTGAATGGACCCTAGAAAGCTTTATGGGCAGGTGCTTTGCATCGTGGCCTCTAAAAACTCTGATACACTGTGTATAACAGCGGTCCCCAACCCCCGGGCCATGGACCGGTACCGGTCCGTGAGTCGTTTGGTGCCGGGCCGCGAGAGTTGAGGCTTGGTGTGAAACTTATGGTTTTCAGGGTTTCTAGCGGTTTTTATCGTTAACTCTGTTTCCCTGGGTCTTTTCACGTGTGTTATGAATAAATCTTCTTTTTTGGTACCGGTACTAGTTTTATTTTGCTCTATTTATACGCAACACCTTAAAGGCCGGTCCGTGAAAATATCTGGTCATTAAGTGATGACCTGATGAATCCTGCCTACCGGCCCTCTGTGTTTATTAAGGCTGCTGTGTTTTTAACATGTTTTAATACTTTGTATCTTGTTCCATTTAATTTGAACAAGCCCCTAAAAACAGTCAGTGTTCACTGTCGGCCTCTCTGTTTTTATTGCCACTGATCATTTCATTAAAGATGAAAGAATTTACAGTTTTTAACTCTCAGTGATGCCGCAGTGTTTGTTTGACTTTGGGAGCTGCATCGTAGTCTGGGCCCAGGCACAGCTGATGACGTCAGACTTACAGACTGGATTGTCGAACATAAACCAGTCCGTGGTGCAAAAAAAACGTTGGGGACTGCTGGTGTATATATCATGTCTTTACTTTCATGCTGCTGAAATTCGAAGCAAACTGATGTTCATTGTCTTTGCAAGTTGATATTCATTGTACGGAAATTTTAAAACCCTACACGATATTGCCAAAAGTATTGACACACCAATCGTGGCTCAAGAGTTGGCAGTTTGTCTTTTAATTGGAAGGCTGCCGGTTCGAGTCTCGGCTCCAACAGTCTCAGTCGTTGTGTCCTTGGGCAAGACACTTCACCCGTTGCCTACTGGTGGTGGTCAGAGGGCCCGGTGGCGCCAGTGTCCGGCAGCCTCGCCTCTGTCAGTGCGCCCCAGGGTGGCTGTGGCTACAATGTAGCTGCCATCACCAGTGTGTGAATGGGTGGATGACTGTAGTGTAAAGCGCTTTTAGTCCTTAGGGACGAGTAAAGCGCTATTTACCATTTACCCCTCCAAATCATCAAAGTGACTTTCGTGGTCAAAGGTGTGAAGATTAAGCTCACAGGCATGCAGACTATTTGAGAATGGGTTGGTCTAAGGAGCTCAGTGAATTCCATCATGGTACCATATCGTGCCACCAGTGCACCCAGTACAGTTGTGAAATTTCCTTGCTGCTAAATAGTTCTCAGTTAACTGTTAGGGCTATTGGAACAAAGTGAAAAGGATTAGAAATCGCAGAAACTCAGTCACAAAGTAGAGGCTACATAAAATCAAAGAGTAGGGTCAGCGGGTGCAGAAATGACCAGTGTTCTGCAGAATCAGTCACTACAGACCTCCGACCTTCAGATTAGCTGAGGAACAGTGTCTAAAACCTTCATGGAATTGGTTTCCATAGCCGAGTATCTGCATCCAAGCCTTATATCACCGAGTGCAATGTAAAGCATCAGTTGAGTGCTGAATCACACTTTTCCTGGCAGTCCGATGGAGGAGAGCGATATTTGCCTGACTGCATTTACCAGTCGTAAAGTTTGTAAGATGGGGTATATAAGTATATAAGTTGGGATTTTTTTCTTTTTCTTTTTTTTTTTGAGGAGTTCAGCTCCTTTTTCCATTGAAAGCAACTCTTAATGCTTCACCACACCAAAACATTTTGGACAGTTTCATGCTCCCAGCTTTGTGGGATCAGTTTGAGAATTCCAGTTCCACTATAACTGCACAGCAGTGCACAAAGTATGGTCCATGGAGACATTAGTGAGCGAGCTTGTTATGGAAGAGATTAACTGAAGAGTCCTGATCTCAACCTGATAGAACTCTTTTGAGATGAAAAAGAGCAGAGACTGCGAGCCGGGCCAAGTCCAACATCAGTGTCTGTCCTCACAAATGCACATCTCAAAGAATGGCCAAAAAATTCCCATAAACACGTTCCTAAACCTCGTGGAAAACCTTCCCAGGAGAACAGAAGCTGGTATAGCTGCAAAGGGAGGGCTGGCATCATATTTAACCCTATGGATTCAGAATAGGAAGTCACTCAAGTTCATATGCCTGTGAGTGCAAGCAAGCAGATACTTTTGGCAACATAGTGTATGTGCATTAAATCTGTGATTAGGTCAATCCTATGGGAGAACTGCAGTACCTCACCTGGGACAAATATCATTTGGTCCTTGGTCATACCTAGAAACCACTGACTCAATGAAGACTTGTTGTTTTTTAATTACATCCAAAAATCCAAAAGCACCTCCTTGGAGAAATATCATAAATATTGCTCTTTGGTTGTATACATGACCTGACATTTCTTTGCAGGTTATTATAGATTTGAGGTGAGAGTTAGGATTGATCAGAAAGGCTTTAGAATAAGATTGGTCAGAGGTGGAGTGACAGAACACTAAACTGTCACAGGTGGGTTTATCCTACTTTTTGTCTTCCAGTTTTGTTTACAAAGCAGTTATTAAACAGTATTTCGTCCTCCAGCAGCAGTTATAGCTGTGTTATTACATCACTGTATCTTCTTTCTCCACGGCGCTCCGCTAGACGAAGGAGAATGAGCCTCTAATCTTCATGATTCACACTATGATTGAGAACTCTGCACCAAGGCCACAACTCTACCAGCAAGTAAGGTCTTAGGCAGGTTCTGGCTTGAGTCACTGTGCAGGCATCTCTGTTAGGGACGTGTCACACAGTCAACCTTCAGTTTATCTTTACATGCTGGAGCACCAAAGTTGCACGATTTCGTTCAGCAAGTCATTTATTTATTCATTTTTAAAGTGAAAAATCCCCTCTCAACATGAAATATCAAACATTTAGAGGAAAACGCATTTATGAAACTATTGCTGCTGATAAATCTTGGTCTTTTGGTTTTCTTATCCAAAGTTTACGTCCAAGTTATTTCTTGCAGAACTCTATATTTTTGAATGAGGGGGAGCAGACTCAAGCCAGATGTTTCCAGTAGTTGTCTATCCACATCATCCCCTCCACTGTTAACCTAGTTATCATGTTTTGGATGCAGTCAGTTCATCTGTCAGTTGTTCCACAGTGATCCTTCCTATGTTTCACCTATTGCAATGTTTGAAGTGTATGTGACGTTCTTTTTGTTTCCTGCACATCTCATTTCACTGCTTTCCTTTCTTTATGCACCTGGAACTGAGCATGATTTGTGGCTGCAATGAGTGTCAGAGCGATGGCGTCTCCTGTCACACAGCAGTGTTTATTGTTGAGGTTTACTTGGGGAATGCTTGACTGGTTTAATGTGTTTGTATTACAGGTTTGTTTTTTTGAAAACTAAAAACTGACATGACATTTCAGGAAACCGTGTCAGATTTCTTTACAAGAATTACCAAAGAATCTGTATATGGGTAGAAGCAGAAGGACACAGTTGGTCAATCTCAGGACAGTCGATGTTTTAGGTTGAGTTATAAGCTGGAACTGCTCTATATTGCCAAAAGTCTTCACTAACCCATCCAAACCGCTGAATTCATGTATAATCGTTTTACACAGGCTCATAAGGTCAACCACCAAGGCATGCAGAGTGGTTGCTTTCAGGAGCTCAGTGAAGTCCAGTTTAGTACTGTGATAGGATGGGGCCTGGATGATTGAGCGTGCATCGAGACATAGTGCACAGAGGCTGCCAGCTTTCTGCTAAGTCAACCTCCACAGACCTCCAAACTTCAGCTTAGCTAGAGAGCAGAGCGCAGAGAACTTCCTGTGGGTTCCTGTGACCAAGCAGCTGCATTCAAGCACACTGCCGCTGTACTCTAGAGCAGTGGAGATGTGCTCTCTGGAGTGATGAATCATGCTTCTCCTTTTGGCAAGCCAATGAACGAGTCTGGGTTTGGTTGTTGTCAGAAGAACTGTACTTGTCTGACTGCATTGTGCCAAGTTTGGTGGAGGGGGGATTATGGCGTGGGGTTATCTCTGTGGACTTGGTTCCACTCTTTAGTCACTCATTAGTAAAAGTAGAATCTCTCGTGATCTGGGAATCACGCTTTTACTCTGCACACAGTTAATGGTACCTTCAAATTTTCCTTGTCACGAGACCACAACATGCTTGATTTGGCACATGCCCTTTTTGATGCACCCCCAAAGGAACTAGCAGCCATTTGCTTGCTACGTGAATTTATAAACCACTGCACTGTGGATCTGCAGTGACAGCAGCAGAGATCATTAGAGCAGGGATGTTTTCAACACACTTGAGCTTTCCCTGAGACCACAGATTGGTAATTTTACATTTCTGTTTAAGCACAAACTAAACAAACAGGTAGAAAATGTTAGTCAGTGAGCTTTACAGGTGATGTTAGGTTTTTGTTGTTTTTTAAACTTCTAAGAGACTTCTTAACTTTAAGAGAATTTTTGATTTTCAGTGTGAAGCAGGAGAGAGACTCGTGGGCTGTTTCCTGTTGTTACCTAACACACGTCTAAGACATTTATTTGTTAGGCATTTTTTTCTGATCCATTACATAAAGTGTCCAGTTAAAATGTGAAGCTGGATCAAATGATCATCAGCCTTTCAGTTACTGTCACAGTGTGGCTCACACTCCTTCCTTGAAGTCCGCAGCAGTGGAGGACACATTTAGGTAAATGGTACATGGACTGGTTCTACTGGAGCACTAAAATCTACACTACATGGTGATTATGGTGAATCTTAAATCACACAGTAAGTTACTGAATGAACGCTGTGTTGTGTTGAATAAGATTTGATAGTAAATCTCATGGGGATGTGTTTAGTGAGGACATGTTACAAGCAGTCCATAGACGTCTGCCACAGGAGTCTTTCTCTGAAGGACAGAAAACAAGTCTGTGGCTCTGGTGCGTGTGCTTTAACGCCCAGAGGGTACATCCATCTTTTGTATGCTTTGTATTAGGGCTGCCACGATTAGTCGACTAGTCACGATTACGTCAACTATCAAAATCGTCGACGACTGAGTTAATAGTCGACGCGTCGTTTGAAGCTTTGTAAGATCCCAAAAGACGCAGGAATAATAGCAGGATTTAAGAGTGTAATAACGGACTGAAACAGAAGATGGCAGCACTGCATGTACAAGGATGCCAGCTGCCGTTAAACCCCGAAGAAGAAGAAGAAGCTGTGGCTGTATCCCAATTCAGGGTCTGCAGCCTTAAAGTACGCAGCCTCAACGATCCTCAAGGGCCGCGTACTCAAAGACCGCTAAGGCCGGAAGTGCGAGGCTTGTGAAATGGGACGGTCTAGCCTCCGTTGCACTGCCCAGGTTGCCTAGCAACCATGATACTAACAGCTGGAAACGTGTCATACAGCTGTGTTTGACAGAAATGAAGGAGAAAATCTTTTGTTCATTTGTTTGTTTGTTTCTACATGAGCTTTGATCATTCTCTGATTAAGCTCAGCTATTGAACGGCGTGTATTTTAAAGTAAAGGCTTTAAAACCAAGTTAGTACAAACGTCACTAATGTCACATAACTTAGCCGACATGTGGCCAACAGTAATGTTTAATGTTCTTCGTTATTAAACATTTGCACATAAATAAGTGACATAATATTCAGTTCTTAAAGTTTACTCTTCGGGCGCCCCTCATCCGCTGTTTTTTTCCGGCAAAATTATCCACACCCACCGCCGCGCTATGCATTCAGGGATATGTTGGGCCACGAAGTCTACACCGCCACGTCCTTAAAATTCAGGGAAATGAAGGATGCATTTGAGGGCCACATTTCGAGCAGCCTTTGAATTGGGACAGCCTTCGTCACGTCGCTGTGACGTAATCGGCCTTAAAATGCGGCCTTTAAGGCTGCAGACCCTGAATTGGGATACAGCCTGTGTCCCAGAATTCATAGCGCGGCCCAGTTCAGTTTCCAACAATGGCGGCAGCTAGTTAGCTTTAATGTTACTCTTATTATTCTTTCTGGGTCACAAAATAAACGTTTAACATATTTTCAGGCGAGAATGTAGCTGTGTAAACCTCAAATATCTGCTCAGTTTATCAGGACACCGCATATTTTCAAAAGCGCTCCGACGTTTTCGGAGACGTCTGTTACCCACTAGCTCGATAGCTAGCCGGGGGCTAGGCTCACTAGAGCCGTGAGAACACCGGACTCCCGGCAAATCGTTTTCAAACCCACCGCCGTCTTTCGCTACTCAGGTTAAACATGATATATGAGTCACTTAGATAACTTAAAATGTTGTTGTTTGGCTTTTTTCAGTATTTTATTTGTTCCTGAGTAAATCGGTTTGGCTGAGATTAAAGTTATAGTTTTTACACAGCTGAATAAACGTCAAGCAGACAGCTGATTATCAGAAGTGTGAGATGCTGGAGAATTTACTCCGGTGTCCTGTTATATTTTAGATAGCAAGGAGTTTATTAAACTTCACCGAAACAACCTGCAAATTTCATTAAAATTGAATAAACTATCATCTTGTCTTTATTTTTAGTTTGCACAGACCTTAAACACTTAAAGCTGTAAGCTAATGATAGTTATATAAGAGCAGATGCAATAAGCTGTAGTTTTACGTCCAATGGATGATGATCTGATTAGTCGACTAATCGCAAAAATAATCGGTGACTAGTCGACTATCAGAATAATCGTTTGTGGCAGCCCTACTTTGTACAGTGAACACCGGTCATTTTCTGGGACAGTTGTTTGGGACTGATTCCAACAAAAAGTTGCCTTAAAAAAAGGTTGACTTGTTTCTCGGTAGAGCACAACCTCATTGCTGCAAATCAGACTAAAGTGTAGGAGGCAAAATGTAAGAGTTTGTTTATCAGCATATTATAGTTTGCTGAAGCTACGCCGGCGATGCGTGTTTGTACTTTCTAATGTGATCCACAGCAGCCGTGGTAACATCTGGGTAAGCAGCTTCAAGCAGGATTAGTAAATATCAACAATATCCCATCATCACTGCATCATTTCATGCTCTTGTAATAAACAACAAGTGTAATATGAAGAATTTTTGCCCACTGTATTCAGGAAAAACAAATCCTGACACAATAATTTATATCATGTGGGATTAAATTAAACACACAGTCAAAAGTTTGGACATGCTTTCTCATTTCATGTTGTTTTTTTTTTTTCATGAATATTTATATTGCAGATTCTCACTGAAGGCATCAAACTACGGATGAACGCATGTGGAATTATGTAGGAAACAAAGACGTGTGAAATAACATGTTGTATATCTTAGATTCTTCCTGATATCCACCCTTTGATTCCTGCTTCGCTCACTCTTGGCGTCTCCATGAGCTTCATGAGGTCGTCTCCTGAAATGGTTTCCAACAGTGTTGAAGGAGTTCCCAGAGATGCTGAGCACTTGTTGGTCCTTTGCCTTCACTCTGCGCTCCATCCCAAACCATCTCCACTGGGTTTAGGTCAGGTGACTGTGTACGCCATCCGTTCACCTTTTCTGCAGTTGGAACCAAAGATCTCAGATTTAGACTTATCTCTAATCTGAGCTGCTGTTAACTTGTGATTTCTGAGGCTGGTGACTCGGATGAATGTATCCTCAGCAGCAGAGGGACTCTTGGTCTTCCTTTCCTGGGGCGTCCTCATGTGAGACGGTTTCATCGTAGTCTTGATGTTTTTGCGACTGCACTTGGACACATTCAAAGTTTTAGCAATTTTCCAACTGACTGATCTTCAGTTCTTAAAGTAATGATGGCCTGTTGTTTCTCTTTTCTTAGCTGACTGGTTCTTGCCATAATATGAATTCTAACAGTCTGTGTAGCAACCTGACTTCTGCACAACACACCTGATGGTCCCAACCCCATTAAGAAGGCCACAAATTCCACAAACAAACCCTGACAGGCTCACCTGCGGGGTGAAGCCGTTTCCGGTGACAACATCATGAAGCTCGCTGAGAGAAGGCCGAGGGTTTGCCGCGCTGTCAACAAAGCAAAGAGCAGCTACTTACAGAAATCAAAAATATAAAACATAGTTTTTCCTTTGCTACATGAGTCCATATATCTTACTTCATATATCTGATGTCAGTTTGTATCTATAATGTAGAAAGTAGCAAAAATAACGACAACAAATGAGAAGGCAAGTCCAAACTTTTGACTGTTAGTGTATAACAAGTCGAGAAGTAATCCCTGAATGCATTCTGTGACATTTCTTAATATTTTTTGAAAAACTGACCTGGAGCTCTCCGTTGTACCAGATGTGTTGCCCCTTAGTGTCCATCTCTGACTGTTTCTCTTCTTCAGACGAGTTCAGATGACTACAAAGACGGCGCCTTCGTTCAGCGCCCAGAGGAGGCTGACATAGATGTAAGACGGCCGCAGCTCTCAGTGAAATGATTGACACGTTTCAAAGACACATTTACTGATGGGCATGTTTGTGTGGCTGTGTTAGACCAAGCTGAGCAGACTGTGTGAGCAGGACAAAGCAGTGAGGATGCAGGAGGAGAAACTGCAGCAGCTACACAGAGAGAAGGTACAGCTGTGCACTCTGTGCATGTGTGTTGCTCTCTTTGCGGATATGCAGTAATAATTTTTGTGTGTTGTGTGGCAGCACACTCTGGAGACAGCGCTGCTGTCTGCCAGTCAGGAGCTGAGTGAACAGAGTGACTCCAATGCAGCAGCCACACAGAGCCTGGTCCAACAGAGAGATGTGCTGCAAAATGGGCTGCTCAGCACCTGCAGGGAGCTGTCCCGAGTCAGCACTGTGAGCATGCATGCTCTCACACATCACCACCCGACACGTAGGGACATTTATGCTTGGAAAAGCAGCCACAGTTTTATGGAATAGGACTTGCTACTGAATATTTATTGCGTGTCTCACAGTGGAACATCACCTAGACTCCTTATGGAGAGTAAAAATCAGCTTTTACTGGCGTTACTGTGATACATGCTGGTAAGGTTATTGATTAGCTTTTACTCTTCATTTAATTTCCTTGATAAACACCAGAATATACAAACCCAAATATACATTTCTTTACAACAATAATACTTCTGCACTGCTGTTACAGACGCGTTTCCTGATGATTACAGAGTAAGAAAATGTTTTGTTCTTTGACCAGTCACAGTACTGGGAAAGCCTCCTTTCAACTCCAAGAACACCAGCATGTAGCACAGCCGAAGCCTTTGTTTCCATAGCGGTGTGGCTTCCACTGTGTTTATGTTTGTGACAGCTTTGATGTGAACAACAGTGAAGGAAACAGAATCAGGTGACAGTTATATATCTGCATTTTAAATCTTTTATTTTGTGTTTTTTTTAATGGTGCATGTTCTAAATATAACAAATAAGCTCCTAAATATGGGCTCAAAATGTGGTCATAAATATTTTGTATGTGTAAAAAAGAATTTGTGTGTGGACTTAGCCAAAAAACCCTGCAAGTTACAAGTACGGATTTTGACCCTATTTTTCTTCCTTTCATCTGATTGGTCAATGTCATGTCAATCACAAATGTAACAATCCAATCAGAGAACAGATGGGTTTGGCTGTCGAGGGGCGCTTTTTTTTAACTGCAGGTCTTTGAAGGTAATAAATGCCCTTTTACATGCCAACCCAGCGTTTTCCTTCATCACCACGAAGGAAAACAGTCTGTGGTCGTCCGAGTTTGGTGATTTTTGTGTCACAGGTCTACGTGTTTAATACAGGGACTTCCACAGCCTTTTCAACAGCGCTGCGGACCGTGGGGTGGGGGCGGGCAGGGTTTTGGAAATGACAGTCTTCATTACAAAGCTTTCTTCGTTATGAATTAGCATACATGTTTTTATTGAACATTTGAAGAACCAGCAAAAACAAACTCTTGTAGAGGAGATAAAGTCAGAGATAGAAAAGACAAGGAGCAGGTGCATCTAGTACAGGTAGAACCCCACAGAGCCCAGCAGCCAGCAACAAATTTTGCATCCTTTGCTTTTAGTTAGCAGTTAGCATTAGCAGCACATCCTGCGACCGATGTGAAAGGACTTTTATGCTGCGCACTGTGACTCACAGCAGTGGTCCCGGGTCAGCCCTGACGTTGTGTTAAACTAATCCTAAAGTAATAATGGTATTTCTAACCACTGATATAGCACAACTTTTTCCTTTCAACAGCTGCTGAAAGTTAGGGGACCTAGCTGCTATCGGATATTTATATAGAGATCCTCCAGCTTCAAACTGTATCACCCTTCAAGGACCTGCAGTTAAAAAAAAAAAAAGCCCCTTCGACAGCCAAACCCATCTGTTCTCTGATTGGATTGTTACATTTGTGATTGACATGACATTGACCAATCAGATGAAAGGAAGAAAAATAGGGTCAAAATCCGTACTTGTAACTTGCAGGGGGTTTTTTTCTAAGTCCACACACAAATCTTTTTTACGCACACACAAATCTTTTTTACACATACAAATCTTTTTTACAAGTACAAAATATTTATGACCACATTTTGAGCCCATACCTAAAGGCTGGATCTACTCTAGCTACACTGTGAGTGGTCACACACTCGATCGGGGCTCTAAGAGATCCATCCTCTAAACCATACCCTGCATATCCTATGCAGCCAGTCTAATGATAGTAGATGGGGATCCACATGATTGTGCAGGAAGTCTTTTCAGGAACAAGCACAAGTTCAGTCTTTGCTCGGCTGCAGATTTCGGGGTCTCTGGTCCTTGTGTCTGTTGGTTTAGGACTGATGTACCGGGGGAACTCACAGAAATGCCACGCAAACCTGACAGACGAGAAAGAGGGCAAAGGTTCCCGAACCTAAAAGAGGAGACACGGGAAAGAAAACCCGCACAGATAAACACAAACAGACTGCTGTTGGTGTCCTGTTTCAGGAGCTAGAGTGCTCCTGGAGGGAGTACGACCTACTGGAGGCAGATGTTACTCTGGCCAAATCCAACCTACTGGAACAGCTGGAGGCCCTGGGCAGCCCACAGGTAGCACGCACACACACACACACACACACACACACACACACACACACACACTCTTACTTTACACGGTGGTTAACTTTGAACAGAATATTTGGATGTGTGTCTCTGTGTGTCTTCAGACAGAGCCTCCAAGTCAGCGGCACATTCAGATCCAGAAAGAGCTGTGGAGGATCCAGGATGTGATGGAGGCGCTGTCCAAGAACAAACCCCAGCGGAGCACAAATAGCAGTGAGGCCCTCCCTCAGCACCTCCACCATCACATTCTTACGTTCTTGCTTGCATGCGTGTGTCTGATGTCTTGGATACAATTTCAAGGTTCTAAACAGTTCTTGTAAACACACCACGGTCAGTCTCTTTGAACAAAACCAAATCTTGATCCTGCCGGAGGTTTAAAGAAAAAGCAGCTGCTTCACCACTTTTTGCTTCTGTGTGTCAAAATGTACATTTGATTTGTTTTTGCAGCTTTGCTCGTTGCAGCGTTTCAGTCGTCAGGTCACGGCCTTCGCTTGGTTGTCACTCTTATCTTTTAGAAAGAGCCGTTATAGTCACCGTCGGTTACGTTTGGTGCCCTGTTGTAGTTTCTAGTTTTATGTTTCCATGACAACGTGTCATTACACGGCTCTGCCAACAATACACTGACACACTGTGAGACCTGGTGATGCTGACAGCCTAGCTGCTGTTTTTAATATACACGTAAACATGTTAATATTGTCTTTGCCGTCATTGTTCTCGTGTTGGCATGAAGTGAAATATCTCCGTGCATCCATGTCCATTTCACACACACAAAGTGTGAAATGGACACGGTGGCCCTGTGTGTGCGTTTTCTGCATAGGGTCCTTGTTATAGACTATTTTTTGTGATTCTGTGATATCGCGTCTTTAGCCTTCTGGTTAAATCTACCCTGTTAATATTCTGCTTTGGCTTGTCAGTAAATCTATGTTGTGTTTTCTGTGCGTTACAAAGTGTTGGATACCTGAAAGATGAATCATCTTGTGAGGAAGATGTAGAACTCCATTTTGCAGCGGCACCTGATGCATTCACGTATCCTCAGTGATCGCAAACTTCTTCACTTCTGTCTGTTTTCTCCAATTTCTGTCTGTTTAATAGGTTTTCTTGGTTCAAAGCCACTCAGCATCCAGCAGAAGAATGAGGTACGGCAGTGTGCACATTACACCTCTGTCACATGATTCTGTTTTAGTTACGTTTGTTTTGACTTCAGAGATTTCTTGCGTCTTTCTAGCCCAACCAAGATGGCTTTGTTTGAGCTCCAGCTGAAGGGTTAGCATGAAGCACGTGGTCAAATTGTTCAGCAGGAGTGTGTGTGATGGCTTTGCTGTCTGTTGTTTCACAGCTGAATAGAGATTGTGTAGCTCAAAGGTTTCGTACTGGACAGGTCGATGTTTGAGTTCAGTGTAGAAATCCGCTCGCTCAGCTGTTTTTGTGGCGTTTCAGGTTTGTCCGTTTCCACAGATACTTTCCATGATGCTGGTGAGATTAGCTTCTTCAGTTACAGCGGTGCCTCGCTATAACACGGTTCACCTTTTGCAGCATTGCTGTTTCGTGGATTTTTTTGTGTGCAATTTTACATGCTTTTTTTTTTTTTACAGCACATTGTGTTCTGTGTCCTGATTGGCTGTAGACAAGTGTCAATCAATCTTGTGCCGTGTCCCCTGTACAGTACAGAATGTGTTCAGCTTGTCCAATTTACATAAATCTTCGATCAGTAGCAGCGTGACTCCGAAGTGCTGCACTGTATGTTTGTAAGTTTTCTCTGACGAACACGACAATGTCGACGAAACGTCGTCACCTGCAGGTGTGTTTGGTTTCATTCTGTAATACTGGACTTTCTACGAAGGTTTGAACTTTGGGAGTTTAAACAACAGAGAAAAGTGTGAAAATGTTCCTGCCTGTGCGAGAAAAGTTTATAAACTGTGTAGGGACGGGTTTTACAGCCTTAACACATCTATAATAATTGTAAAAAATAAAGTTGGCTACTTCACGGATTTCACTTATCGCGGGTTATTTTTAGAATGCAACTCCCACGATGAACGAGGGACCGCGGTCCTGTAGAGTATGCGCTCGATGGCGCGTAGCAGACAGAGTGAACAGTTGTAAAACTAAAAATAAAGTCCTGTCCCGTCTCACAGAACCAGATATTTCACTCTTACCGTAGCTCTTTACATGTCGTTAGGATGCGTGTTTACCGCTAACACTGATATGTTCCATTAATAACATACTTATCGTGTAGTTCGTGTTGTTGTCGTTGTGAATGCACCCATAACAGCAAGTCTGAGAAGAGAAGAACACATTTGGAGTCAGAGTGATGTTTGAGTATTTCCAGCACAAGCCGAGGTGTCTCCATCCCAGTTTGCAGAAACTGGTCCAGTCAGGCTGAGTGTTCTTGGTGACGAGCAGCATTTGTACAGCATGACAGGAGCGCTGTCCTTTCTTTGAGCCCCGTTGTGTTAACTGTCTACAGGCAGTCACTCAGCCACTCAGTCCTCCCAAGGAGGGCAACAGCGTACCCCCCCGCCCGCCTCTCCCCCAGTACTACGACTCATCAGACCGCCCCCCTCAAGTGCCCCCCCACCACTTGCACCGTGGTGGGCCCATGCCCTCCCACAATTATCGTCCTGAAGACCGCAAAACCGGCACCAGGAATGGAGCACACAGTGTAAGAATCGCTGAACGCGTTCATGCCCCACCCTCTCCTGACCACATCAGCCCCCAACATCCTCAGTTTGCTGTGACTGGCACACTTCAGTACACCGAGCCAATGCACCCGAGCTCCTCATTTCACAGGATTCAGTGTTCTCAGCCATCTCTCGCCTTTTATTTCCAGACCCCATCCTAAAGAATAAATTCATGTGCATCTGTTCCTCAACAAGTTCAAATACATCTAATTCATATCAGTGTTATGTGTGCCTGACTGATGCTGAACAACGTGTGTATGAATGTATTCTTATCCTGAGATTTCCTTCCTATTGCACTCAAAGCAAGCTCCAGATTACCGGCTATATAAGAGCGAGCCGGAGCTGACCACGGTGAACGAGGAAGTGGACGAGGCCAACGGTGAAGAGAAGGACAAGGCTGAGACTGAAAGTAAAGACGGCGCATCATCCAAAGGTACATTTATTAATCAGTGTGTGACTCTCAGTGGTAGCCTCATTCTCGCTGCACTGTTTTTACTGTGCTTTAAAGAAGCTGGCGTTTCGTGACGGGGTGTGGCTTGGCTGCAAAGGGGGTGGAGCAGTGGGTTCGGGGCACTGATGTCCGGATTGGGCTGAGCGGGTCCCTCTGGCGGGCTGACCCCTGCAGCCGAGCCACAAGCCACACTTATTATAAAAGTTGCCCGCTGGATTTAACTAAGCAAATAGGTTCGAGCCTCCTGTTGGACAGTTACTGCATGGGCGATTATCAGCTGGCAACAAGTTATTCAACCCCAACTGGTGCAATGAGTTGCTTCACATTTCATAAACAACCATGTCGAAAGATGCATATCGTGGTTGTCGAAAAGATGTTAGTGTGTTTGAGAAGGGTCAAATCATTGGTATGCATCAAGCAGAGAAAACATCCAAGGAGATTGCAGAAACTACGCAAATTGGGTTAAGAACTGTCCGACGCATTATTAAAAAGTGGAAGGATAGTGGGGATCCATGGTCTTCGAGGAAGAAGTGTGGTGATTGTGATCGGCAATCAATTAAACGTTTGGTGAAATCAAAGCGAAGAAAAAAAACAGTAGAACTCAGGGCTATGTTTAATAGTGAATGTAAGAGCATTTCCACCAGCACAATGGGAAGCTCAAGGAATTGGGCCTGAACAGCTGTGTAGCCATAATAAAACCAGTAATCAGAGAGGCAAACCGGGAAAAAGGCTTCAGTTTGCTAGCAAGCATAAAGACTGGACTCTGGAGCAATGGAAGAAGGTCATGTGGTCTGATGAGTCCAGACTTACCCTGTTCTAGAGGGATGGGCGCATCGGGGTAAGAGGAGAGGCAGATGAAGTGATGCCCCCGTCATGCCTGGTGCCTACAAGCCTGTGGTCTGGGGTTGCTGCAGTTGGTCAGGTCTAGGTTCAGCAACAGCATGTGCTCCAAGAAGGAGGTCCGCTGACTCCCTGAATGACCAGGTTATCCCATCAATGGGTTTCTTCTTCTCTGATGGCACGGGCATATTTCCAAGGTGACAATGCCAGGATTCATCTGGCTCAAACTGTGAAAGCGTGGCTCTGGGAGCATGAGACATCCTTTTCACACACATGGACTGGCCACCAGAGTCCAGACCTTAACCCCATTAAGACTCTTTGGGATGCTGGAGAAGGCTTTGCACAGCGGTCAGACTCCACCATCATCAGTGCAAGTTCTTGGTGACAAATTAATGCAACACTGGATGGAAATAAATGTTGTGACATTGCAGAAGCTTGTGGAGACAATGCCACAGCAGATGCATGCCGTAATCAAAGCTAAAGGCAGTCCAACTACGTATTAGAGTTTTTTTGGTGGCAATGGTTTTTTGGCCGGGGAATGTATCTGTTAAAGGGTATTAATAGTAAAGACAGATCTGGGCTATCTTATATTATTCAATCAATTCGTCAAGTTTTAGAAGATGTCATTCATGGTCACTGAATGTAGAAAGTGTTTACTGGCCACAGGTGAGGCTTTGTCCTTTGACCTTTTCAGGCCTTCATCAGCCCTACTGGAAAGAATATTTCTCTCACATCTGTGTTGGTAACGTTGGGACCTCATACTAACTTGGTTCAGTTAAAACACGTAGCCTATATATTGTTTTTAGTCCTTTTAGTTGTTTTTCATTAATGTGTGAGTGAGAGCATTTTCCGGCTGTTTCTCCAACAGTGTCCCCGTACCGAGTGGGTGTCATCCCCCCCAGGACCAAATCCCCAATGAGCCCTGCCGAGTCCTCCACTATTGCTTCCTACGTTACCCTGAGGAAGACCAAGAAACCTGAATCCAGATCTGTAAGTTTCACCTTTATAGTGTGGTAAATCTGTTGCACTACGAGGGCAAGTCATGTCTGACGCATTTATTCGGAGTACATAAAAGGAAATGAAGCACTCGCTCACTGACCGCTCGTAAATATAGATCAGAAGCAGAATCATCTTCATTTGGTGACTCTGTACTCTCTCTCGCTCTCTCTCTCTCATATATGTGTGTATATAT